CTAAAACACATTTTTACTTTAACATATGTTTTCATGGTTACTCCCGCTGGAACATTTTTGAATTAAACTGTCATTCAATTTCAAATGCTTTACGTTTTAGACAGAAAAGTAGGTATAAAAAGACATGAGAAATTGAGAGTATAGTTACTTCCCAATTACTAGCAGCTCCCAATTCTATACCTATGTACTTCAACGATATTCCCCTGTTGTATAGAGGATATCTTTATACTTTTAGTTTGCGTCTGGCTTATTTTTAACAGTGATATAAAAATATGTATACAAAATATTAGATTTAAAATGGTTAAATATATAAAATATATAAAAACATAAATAAAAACATTTCTCAGTTTAAAATTGTCGTCTTTTTTTTTTTATAATTTAAGTTATTGGAATTTCATTCCATTAATACAGTCAGTACATCTGCGATATTCCATGTTAACATTGCCACATTTTTCGGTGTACATAGATATTATTATTATGTTATTTATATAGCACCATCAAATTCCGCTGCGCTTTACAGTGGGTGGACGAACAGACATGTAGTTGTAACCAGACAAGTTGGACACACAGGAACAGAGGGGTTGAGGGCCCTGCTCAATGAGCTTACATGCTAGAGGGAGTGGGGTAAAATTACACAAAAAGGTAAGGATAGTATTAGACTAGTGACAGTTGCAGAAGAGGAATCAGTCGGAAGCTACTAACAGTTCAATTGATATGCTTTAATGAAGAAGTGGGTGTTTAACGATTTTTTAGAGTTAGCGTTTAGTGAGAGGATAGCCATACATTCATGAGCGTAGATGAGTTTGATCCACTAACATTGTTGCCGTAGGGCATAGGCCCGATTTCCAATTAAGAGCTATGAATGCTCTAGCTGCCATAGCGACATGTGCCACCAGGGCCCTTGCATAAAACGTTATTCCCGGCGGGAACTCTAGCCAGAGGTACACCTTGCGCTCCCGAGGGACCTTAATGTGGAGCGCCTCCACCAGATCCGCCACCGCGTCCCATAAGGGCTGAATCCCCTCACAGTCCCACCACACATGTAACATGGTGCCCCTTTCTAGGCCACATCTCCAGCATGTTGCCGTTGTTGTTTTGTATATATGACTGAGCTTATCTGGTGTAAGATTCCAGCGGTAGAGGAGCTTACGGTGCACTTCCATGTGAGAGTAGCATCTAGTAATGCCTTGTAGCGCATTTAGCCTCTTTACCCACCTCTCCTGTGGGACTATCCCCCCTTTCTTTTTCCCACTGTGACACCAGGGCCATGGTAGTCTGGGACCTAGGGGCCGTAAGGGCTCCATAGTATCTAGATAGGAGTTTAGGTTTCAGTGGGATTGTCCAGCACGAGGCTAGTAAGGCTTGTAGTTCTTTTTCGGCAGGGGTGGTGTCAAATGCTGCATAGCTTGTATGTACTAGTAGTATACTTTTAAGCTGAAGGTATAGGAATGTAAGTTTAGATGGTTAATTGTATTTCTCCTGCAGTGTTGGGAAAGGGATCAATGTGCCCCCCGATATTAGTTGGGATAGTTTTGTTATTCCTTGATTTGCCCATTGTCTTACTGGGAGTTCCGAGGAGACCGCCCTCAGTGCTGCCGATGGTGCCAATCTGTGGAACTTGGTGGGTGCCTGTCTCATGTTATTGAGTGTGTCCCAAACCGCCAGAGACGCCGCTGTAGTAGGGTACGGGGGGGGGGATTTTGTGCCTCAGTGGCGGTGGGGTCCACATGTGCGATGCCAGTGAGTCCTCTGGCAGTTGCTGCTTTTCCATATCCACCCACCCCAACAGGCCGCAGGCTGCATGGAGGTTAATGGCCTGGGCCGCCCTGCCGTATAACCACACCTGAGGGACACCCATGCCACACCTCCCTCGCTACTCTGGCTCTGCTTTTATGCCATATGAAGTCCATAAAGAGCCTCTGTACCCTGTCACAGTAACCCTTAGGAGTTCGGATAGGAAGCATCCTAAAAATAAATAACAACTTGGGCAGGGACACCATCTTGAGGGCATTAATTCAGCCCGACCAGGAGATTCGTACCTCCCTCCATTTGTCTAATTCCTGTCTCAGTGTTGTCAGCATGTGGAAGTGATTGTATTTTATTAGTGTTGCTATGGTTTTAGTTATTCTCACTCCCAGGTAGACTATGTACTCGTCTCTCCAGTCAAATTGAAAATGACCCGACAAGGTCCCCTGCCTGTGATGCGGTATGTTAATCGGTAGAGCTTGCGTTTTGCACGTGTTAAGTTTGTAATAGGAGACTGCTCCAAAGGTTGACAGCAGTTCCATCAGCTTGGGAAGGGATGTTTCAGGACTAGACAGAGTGAGAATGATGTCATCCACGAATAGCGAGAGTTTGTGCATCTGTTCTCCTATTGAAATGCCTTTTATGTCTGGGGAGTCGCGGATGCGTTGGGCCAATGGCTCCATGCACAATATGAACAATATGAGGGGGGACAGAGGGCATCTCTGTCTGGTTCTGTTTGCTATGTCAAATGGTGGGGATATAAAATCTGCGTTGGAGACGCTAGCAGTCGGGCAGGTGTGGAGGGCCATTATGGTGGTAATGAAAGCTGGGGGGAACCTAAATTTCCTCAGCACCTCTGTCATGTATGACCAATTTAATCTGTCAAAGGCCTTCTCCGTGTCCAGCGCTAAGAGAAGGCCTTCTCTTGACTGCACCTGGATGTGGTGGAGCACATTTAGTAGGTGCCTCAAGTTGTCTGAGCCCTGTCTCCCTTTAATATAGCCTGATTGGTTATGGTGAATGAGTTTTGGCAGAAGTGAGCTTAGTCTGTCTGCGATAATTTTGGCATAAAGTTTTGTATCTGTATTTAATAGTGAAATTGTTTTGAAATTCGTGCATACGGTTGGTTTTTTGCCTGGTTTGGGTAAGGTGACTATATGGGCCAGGAGAACTTCTTTTGGGACGTAACCTTGCTGGAAGCAGGTGTTGAAAACCACCATTAGGTGGGAGCCTATCTGCGCTTGGAAAGTTTTGTAGTAGAGTGCTGGTAGGCTGTCCGGCCTTGGGCTCCTGGCTGTAGGTAGAGCTGTTATGTGTTTTTCTACTCCCTCAAGTGTGATAGGTTTGATGAGGTTCTGCATATCTTCCTCTAGGATCCTTGGTATCTGGATCGTGTTGAGGAAGTCGTTTAGGTGTCGTAACGTTGGGACATTAGTATTAGAGTCATCTTTAAGGTTATATAATGAGCTGTGATAGTTGGCGAATTCTTGTACCATTTTGTCTGGGTTAAGAATTTTGTCCCCCTGTGCCGTATGAATGAATTCTATCCTCGTAGCCTGGGCCCTTTTTTTAAATTGGGAAGCTAGAAGAGCTCCTGCCCTATTACCAAGTTCAAAGTAGCGCTGCTTAAATCTGCGGAGTAGAAAGTTGGTTTTAGCTAGTCTAGAGCCTATTGGGGTGGGGGGCTGCCTTGTTAAGAGAGGAGATTTCCGTTGTAATGGACCGCCTGGCACCCCGACTGGGTACCTCGGTTACTGGATGCTCCTAGCGCTTCCCGAGAGCTCCAAGCGCTCCGCCAGATACCACAACCACCGCAGACCCCACAAACCGCTGTAGCTTGGTTGGGGTCTCGCCATCTCCTACCCACCCTGGACCTACGACAAGGCTCCAGGCTCCAGTGGGTGAACCTCTCCTCCAAAAGAGTGAAGCAGGAACAAGCTCTTAAAAGAGCTTAGAAGTGATTATGCAAGGGAGTATGTAGAGCATAGCAATCCCTTGTAGTAATATAGCAATTCCCCCCATAAGATACAGGACTCTAGATTGAGGGTTAAGCAGGAACTGAACGCACTGAGGCTTTATTGCTTCTTTTATAAAAGTTTTCTCACAAGGTTACCACCCACATGGGCCTTGTGCAACAATCAATCAGAAACCGACACACAGTCAAACACTCTCATTCATTCCAGCAAAAAATCCTCCCCTCTGCCTGTGATATAATTACTGAACACAATGGGTTAACATAATTATCACAGGCAGGAAAATACAGTTTTTATAACTCATACACATCCAATCTTAATAAAATCATTTTTATAACCAGCATAACTATGGGAACAACATATCCAAAATTCGTGAGAATTGGTCCAGTGGTTCAGGAGATAGCTGGAAGTCATATTTTGACCGACCGCATGCACATTTTCATGCCCAAAACAGTTCCAGAGAATCAGGCTGTGCGGCCGGTCTATTTCCCCTGTTAACTATAGTTCAAATAGGCGAACGGCAACCGTTCGTATTGTCGAACAAATTGTCGAACGGCGTCTGGAGAAGTCTGGAGAAGGTAAAACTTCAGCTGAATTAAAACGGCTGTATCCAAAGTGCCAATTTAAAGTTGCAAACTTGCTCCAACACAATTTAAAGGGGCAGAAAAAGTACAATAAAATCCAATATGCCCAAACAACGTTTTTAAAGGGGCCATAGTCACAAGGCAGGAGGCTGGCAATTAGTCCTCTCCAGACACAAGTGGCGAAGGGCACTGTGGTACACCCGTCAACCGTTTAGTTAGGTCTAGGTATGTTTTAAGTCTCTGGGCTTTCGCATGGCTAGCATGTTTAATTAGTACTCCCCGTATGTAGGCTTTGTGTGCTAACCAGAGTGATTCCGGCTTAGTGTCAGGCAGCTTGTTAGTGTCAAAGTACAGGTTCAGTTTGTTACGGATATCTGAAAGTATGTGTGGGTTAGTTAGCAAGTGTTCGTTGATGTGCCAATTGCTCTCCTAGCTGTAGCATTATTAAAGTTTTGTGTGTTGTTTTCTGTTTTTTTTTATTATATATATATATATATATATATATATATATTATACTAAGCAAGGGGTGAGAGTAGGTAAGGATGTATAGGTGGTGAAGAATTAAATGGGCAAGAGGATAGTGTCTCTGCGTG